AGCCTGAAGGACTTATAAACTAGGAAGCCCTGAATAAATACACATCTGTCTTTCTCTGCTTTCAACTCCTGGGGGAAGCCTGAATTCTCTTTGGGAAAAGCTCCCAGTCCCTGTACTAAGCAGTAACATAGCTATTCCCAAACTGTGTTACAGGACTCTAGAATGTCAGCCTCCAGGATTCTAGAACTGTGGTATATTGAGTATGTGGTTCTTTTGTCCCTAAGAAAAGGGAGAGAGAGTACACTAGCCTATCAGAGCAGCACACAGGAAAAGTGTGTCAGAATTGAGGCTATTGGTCAGGCACCTTACGTCTCAAGAACCTCACCTGTGAATGGCCTAAACAGATGAAGGTTTGTGCTTTTTAGGCTGCTGGATGCCCAAATTGAGAGGAGCTTTAAAAAAATTACTGAATTCTAAATGTATATAGCTGTGGGGAGGGAGGAACAAAGGGTGTTACAAAGAAGCCTTGTCTAACACATGATGTTTGAAGAGAAATGCCTGAAATAGTTATTCAAGAGATAGTATAGGGGCTGGGAAGATACCTCACTGGGGAAAGTGCTTGCCAAGCAAGTGAGAGGACCAGAGTTCATATCCATGGCACCTAGGTAAATGCTAGGTAGACACAGAGGCCTACCTGTAATCTCAGCTCAGGGGAGGCAGAGACAGGATCCCAAAAGCAGGCTGGAGAGCTAGAACAGCCAGAAACCTCTGGGTTCAAGTGACAGATCCTGCCTCAACGTGTAAGGTGCAGAGTGATCGAGGAAGACACCCAGTGTCAACCTCTGGTCTCTACATGTATGCACATACACACGTGCCCACATACAAGCAAAAACACACAACATAGGCATATACACCACACATACACACACACACACACACACACACACACACACACAAAAAAAAGTTTTTTAAGAGAAAGGGAGAGATGGTATGGCCTGCTAGAGCATTAGGGACCCGGATCTGGGCTTTCCATCCTCACTAAGTGCTTTCAATGCCCTTGTGAATGAGTGAAGGTTGTTAGGTCACTGATGGCCTGCACAACTCATACTTACTTGAGTTGCCCAGCTGTGGTACTGTGTGGTTTTGAGTCAGGAACATGTAAAGGTGGAGTAAACAGCTAGTGGCAGGGCTCCTGCTCAAGCCAAAGTCTTACTCTGAGACTTGGCTGACTAGCCAGTTTCTCCAAGAGCATGTAACAAGCTCAACTTGGGTCAAGTCCCCTCCTAACTATGGCATTACCGTATCCAAGACCATCGCTACACAATCCCTATAGATATTTCAGTGGCTGGACCTGTTAAAGCAAGGTATCTGTTTGATGTAAGGATATTCCCAGGGTGGTACCAAGGGAGCCCCCAGAATAGCAACACCCATATCACCTGGTATTGATAGAAATTCAGATTCTCAGGCCCCAACTCATGCTTACTGAACCAAAAACTGTGGCATGGGCCCAGAAAACTGTGTTGTAACATTCTGAGGAGTTGTGACACTAACCAAAGTTTGGAAACCACAACTTGGCATATCTTGCTGTCTCGTGAGTGTGGTGTCAGCAGGTGTTCAGTCAGTAGGTTCCTGCTCAACACAACTTGGCATTGGTCCAACCAGGTAGCACCTTACCCCCAGTTCTCATCAAACAAAGATATATCTTTCTTAGATACTTTTTAGAAGCCTTTTTCTTTCTGGTACTAAGAAAAGGTTAGGGCTCTTTAGTAAGAATAACCTCTGACGGTCAGTGTCTCTAAGGCCTTGGTGAGACTCTGGCCTGAGAAGACCTCTGTGTTTCCATGCTAACCACCCCACACAGGAATGAGCAAGAAGTGGTAGTCCCCTGATTTTGATATTGGCCATTTGACCAAATATAGTATGATAGAATCTAGGCAACATTTCTCTAAATTTCTACAGGGCTGGTACACAGAAAGCACTCAAACATTGTAGGTCTGCTGGTGGTTAAATAACTGATCAGTGGGACAGCACCGCAGAAAGCGAAGGCATGGTGGTAGACATCTGTGGTCCTCCCTCAGGAATGGGAGGGCTGCTATCTGGCCAAATGGCTTGAGTGCCTTCTCCCTGAAAAGGGTTTGCTGTCCTCACCTGTGAAGCAGAGGTTGCACCAAGTCTGCAGGGCCTCTTTATATCTCTCTCTTTTCTGATTAGTGATGATGCCTTGCAGTCTTAATGATTTAGTAACAGCTTGGGGACAAGCATCTTCCCCAGGGATAGAGGAACGAAGACAGGCTTAGCCATGAGGCAACAGCCACATTGCTTCGTCTAGGGGCAGGTGGGGCAGCCTGCGTCTGTGCCCTACATTTGCAAAGATAGCCCACTTGGTCTCCTCTCTTGGTCCATACTCTAGATTTAGGCCAATGCTGCTTATTTGGCTGTCTTGGAAATATCCTGGAGAGGATTCTGGCCTTCTTAAAAGGCTTATCTCCAAACATAGATGTCTATGTAGTCGGATCTTAAAGCCATAGACTGAGCCAGTTTGAGTAACTTTCCGATTTTCTCTAATCCTGAACTTAAGGAGCACATTTTCTGTCTTATTAGCTAAACTTTCATCTTCCTGGGTCAGTGACCCCCACCCTTAAAAAATTCATATGCAAATCCCTGTGTGTGCCTATCCCTTCCCCTGAAGTCTAGACTTTAAAGAAGTTTCGCCCTATTAAACATCAGCTTTCAGAGCTGATTGCTGTGTTTTTTTTCTCTTAAGTCCATTGCTTAACAATCTGTTTTAACCTTTTGCCAAATTCCCCACTTCTGTCATAGGTGACTCTAAGTGTTTGAACAGGTAACATCTACCTTTGCACTTCTATTGCAACAGGTTCAAAGGTTCCAGGGGAGCTGGCAGGACACTTTCAGGACAGGATCCAGTGGTTTCAGGTGTGGCCAGTCCTGGAGCTGTGGAAAAGGCAGAGGCAGCTGAATGTGGTGCTAAACCAAGTCAGCCAGCTGTGCGAGGAGCATTTCCTCCACCCAGCAGCGAAGAGTGTTCTCACCAGGTAAACTGCCTTTTCTGTCTCCAGATAGTGGGAATAGGGAGGTGTGGGGGAAGAAGGTGGGATATGTTATCTTCAACCTGCCCAAAGCTCTTTCATAACATGAGTGGTAATCTGAGCTGATTTGTGTGGGAGGACAAAGAAATAAATCAATTGGGAAAGGAAATATTTGCGTCACCTGAATGTCAGAAGGAACAAGAGAATTGTTAAGAGGTTAACTCAACTTTTAAAAGACCTAAAGTCTTTGAAAGGTTAAGGAGCCAGCCAGGATATTGGGTTTCCTTCATCTTCCATTCAGAAATTCTTAGTTAGAAGGGCCACTTACCAAATGCTGATGACCCATTGGAAGGGAGAAGGAGGAAGGAATTCTCAGCAGTGATGCTGAGCATCCTTAGGACACAGCATGCATTATCTCTCTGGCTGGCTGTCTTCTTTGAGGCAGGTGGCATCATTCTTTTGTGGACACATCTCTGAGCTGTTAAGCAGTATGGTCTGGCTGTACAGCTAGGAGGTGGTATAGCTACAATTTGATTCCTGATCATTCTGTCTCTATGGTTTACTCCTTAATATGGAATTCTTGGGTGATATTAAAATCCTCTCATTCTCTGAAGTCTTAAGAGTCACAACTGTGTAAGGAAATTGGATAGGAAGACAACTCTCAATGATATTTTAGAGTGACCCAGACCTACTGAATTTGAACATTCACTTCTAGAGGAGAACAATGATGATGATGATGATGATGATGATGATGATAATGACAAACTGTCTGCCAAGTCTCTGATGGGATAAAAGGATATCCTTTAGGTGTATCCCATGGACAGAGTCTTAGCATCCACTCCGCCATCTTCTCTAGTAGAGACTGCCTGTTGGGGAGCTGAGCTCCTGACACTGAGTTAAGCAGGTATTCCTCCAGCTGTGAGATGGCAGAGGAGGCACACCCTTGCCCCATGTCTACAGGGGGCTCCCGGGAGGTCACAGGGCCATGCTTTCTCGTGTCTCAGTGTGCCATTGCTTGCCTTAGGCTTTCCAGCTCAAGCCTTTAAGAAGCTGCTTTGCAGACAGAAAGAATCTTAATGCAGCTCTAGTGAAGAGCCAGGCTCACACTGATCTTCCTGCCCATCCTTCTTAGAGGGATCAAGGCTGGGAAAGCAGGCTTCATTCTGCCTGTCTATGAGGCTGGGGTTGGGAGTGGGAAGTGGGAGGGGGCAGAATTTCATTTCTCTTCCAAATCTGAGAGAGAGAGAGAGAGAGAGAGAGAGAGAGAGAGAGAGAGATATGCTCCAGTGCCCCTCTGAGACCACAGCCTCAAAGGGTGATCAAAGGGGACAACTGTGGACCCTGGTAATACTGGGCAATGAGAGGGGTTGAAGAACACATTTTCACCTTAAACTAGGATGTGAGGCCGAGCTAGTGTGTCAAAGGAAAGGCAGCCACGTCAATTTATGGCTCACCGCCTCTGTCATTCCTGGCTTGCTTGTTTATTCTGTTGGCTGTGTGATGTTGGCCTCAGTATCTGAGGCAGGGAGCTCTGGGGACAGGAGAAAGGGGCTACTTGGAGGACAGCAGTGTTGAGACAGACCCAAGGGCGGAGGTTCCTCTAGCTGGACTTTCCTGTCTTGCCAACATAGCAGGGAACAACGTCACCTCCGTCTCTCTGACAGCGAACCAGGGGCACCTCAAGTCGTTTTCGTGTGGATTTTTGTCTGACCAAGAAGGCTAGTCTGACCAGCGAGGGCAGCGAGGACTGTGCTGATGCATGGTGGCTTTTGTTTCAGCCCTTAGGGGCTGAGGTTAAAAGGCTTTGAAAACCAGCCAGGGTAGCTTTGGCGGCTTGTCTCCTCCTGGTTAGAAACGCTTCCACTTTCAGTTGTGAAAGGAAAAAAAAAAAAAAAAAAC